AGAGGAGTTAACGGACACGAACTAAAGCAGCTCATGCTTTAGGAAACAGAAAAATATTCTCCTCTTAGCAGACTGAGCTCACCAAATCAGCATCAGAGACAACATTATGACTCAGAGTTTTGATTTATGTGTTCTGTGATCATGCAATATTGCCTCAAGCCCATTTGGATTTAATATAATAACAGTATAACTTTTTTTCAATATGTGAAAGTTGAAAGTTCCCTTTGACCCAAATACTTTTATTCTCAGTAGGCAAGGGGGAAATATTCTTTTAAAAATTCCAGAATATTTCTCCACTGTGTAGCAATTTGGATCTATTTTTCAGATCTTTATTTATATTTAATTATTGCTTTAAAATTAAATGATAGGGACATTTCATTGCAAAAGTGTTTCCTGGAAGCCAGAACTTAAAATCAGATGGCATTTTGGGATTTTTTTTCATAATATAAAATTATTAGAATATGGTTTTAAATAGATCATTTCTGGGTGTTTACTCAGGAAAATGAGCAATGGTCCCCACTGGAGAGTGGCATTGAAGGTGTCAGTGAGAAATCAGTGAAGACTTAGGACCAGCAGTTAGCATAATGGCTAAGTCACTGGACTCCCATGTAGTTGACTGCAGTTCGAGTACCGGACCCAGTGGCTTAAAACTCATGCCAGGCACGTGTGCGTGCGTGCGTGCCCAAGATCCCGAGAGGAGAATGGAGAAGAAGGGATTGCGGTTTGACCATCCCCCCTGGGGGGTGATTTCTCGCTTTCTGTCTCTGTCTCTCTCTGTCTGTCTGGCCAGTGCACGTGCCCTATAGCAGAAACCTCTAAAAAAAAATCTCAGACCCAGGGGCTTAAGAAACATTCCAGGTGCTGTGTGTGTGTGTGTGTGTGTGTGTGTGTGTGTGTGTGTGTCCAAAATCCCAAGAAGAGAATGGAGAAGGGATTGCAGAGTGACCGTCCTCCCTTTCTCACTTTTCCTCGCTCTCTCTGCCTTTCTCTCTGGCGAGCACATGCGTACTATAACAAAACCTAAAAAAGAGAAAAAAAATTTTTTTGTTTTTTTCCTTCCATGCAGTTATGGCCTATTCCTTAATTAGTAACTGTTAGGGTTCAGAGAAAGACTTGGGGGGCACAATCTCAAGAGCAAAAGGAAAGTTTATTGAGAGAAAGAGCACCCTGAAGTGTGAAGCTGGAGGTGCTTCAGCCCGCCCTACCAAGGAGAATGATGCATTTACATGGGAGAGGTGGAGGGGTAAGGTCGCTAAAAGAGCAGATACTTTGATCAGTTTACTTGCCACTGGGACCTTATTGGCCCATCTATGGATTTTGACTGCCAGGAAGGAAGGGCTCTTCCTGGAGGATTCTGTCCAAAGGTCGTTACAACCATCTTCTATTCTTTGATGGGAAATTACCTATAGGTCATTCAGGAGTCAATCTTAACAGTAACCACTGTTTTTAGTTTCTTCCTTATACTTATAAATTTTTAAAAATGCAGCATGCCTTGAGAACCAGCAGTTAGCGTAATGGCTATGTCGCTGGACTCCCACGTAGTCGACTGTGGTTTGCGTCCCGGACCCGGTGGCTTAAAACTCACTCCAGGCGCTTGTGCCTGCGTGCCCAAGATCCCGAGAGGAGAATGGAAGAGAAGGGATTGCAGCATAGCCATTCCCCCTGGGGGATGATTTCTCCCTTTCTATATCTCTGTCTCTCTGGCGAGTGCACATGCCCTGTAGCAAAATCCTCTCAAAAAAAAAAAAAAAAATGCAGCGTGCCTTTTAATAAAAAAACTTTAATGGAAGATGTTAAGAAATAAAGCTACAGGCCAGTAGGTGGTGTGGAGGTTAAGGTATTGGATCCCACATGGTCAGCTCTGTAATTCAAGTCCCTGGACCGGTGGCTTGAAAAATGCACTGGACATGTGTGTGTCGGTGCCCAAAATCCTTAGGGAAGAATGAAGGAGAAGGGATCGTGGTGTGGCCCTACCCGCTGGTGTGTGTATGCGGGGTTGATTTCTTACTTGCCCTCACTCAGTCTCTCACAGGTGAGTGCACATGCCCTATGGCAAGTAAAAGGAAATAAAACTCCACATTTAAAAGTCAAAAGTCAACATAATATTCTATTGAAGGCTCTGAATGTTTGTATGTCAAAGAAAAGTTCTTATTTTCTTTCTGGCCTGCTACTTTTTCAGATACCCAGTGATATAAAAATTAGACTCCATTTATAGGTAGATAGGGTAAGGGCCCTGAAATAAGTCACTGTGTTTTTCTTCTTAATGAAATTTTGTGTTTTCCCTCTATGGTTTGATTAATGTAAAATGTACACTCTTTTACATGTCTCTAAAGAATTTGACTCCTTACTAATAAGGCAGGAGATAGAGATATCAAGCACACAGACTAAGTAGAGATGGAGTCACAGTAGCTAAATTTTCACAGCCAAAAGCTGGCTGCAATGATACTGAAAGCAACTGTAGCTAAGGGCAACAGTTTCTAGTTAGTAACTGTATTTTACCAAGAAATTTCTATTTAGTAACTATATCCTAACAAGCAGTACAAAACACTATGGTCTGGAACCCCACAAAGAATGGCACAGTAAATCACTCAGACTACCATGTAACTATTTTCTAAGGCACACTTCTTATGAAAAAGCCAGCCCATTGCCCTGACTGCTAGATAAAAACCCCTCACCCCCAGTTCCTCTTTGGCAATACATTCAGGGCCCTTTCTACTACATTGAAAGCTTTTACTCCTTCCCTAATAAACTCCACTTTACTCTCCACTCTGTGTCCATGTCTCTAATTCTTCATGAGTGTAAGACAAGAACCAACATTGCTGAATCTGGTCACCCAGCACTCCTGCAGCCCTAGAACACATATATGATGAAGCCTATACTTCTTATTTCCTTTCCCTTTGACCAAGTTTATTTAGAAATTTTAATAATGGTGAAAATTCAGCTGAGGGAGAAAGAACAGGGCAAAGAGCTTGGACTTTTCCCCAAATGGGAGAGTTAAGACCTAAACACTTAAGATCTGGAAATATTGCCCTGAGGGTTTGTCAAGTTTTTGCAGTTGTTTTCTTCTTTGACAATCAGGCTCTCTAGGAGTTGTACTGTGGTTTTGTTTTTAAGTAACCATTTTAAAATGTAATTACAAAATTAAGATAGACTTATCACAAAATATTTAAATGTTATAAAAATGTAACTTAGAAAATAAAAGTCTCATAATTCTACTCCGGAGACGTATGTGTGCTTGTGTGGTGTGTGTATATGCATGTTTATGTGTTTATGTACAGAAATGCAGCCATGATGTTTATAGTTCTGCCACTTGGCCTTTCATACAAGAAATGTTCTGGGGGACCAGCAGTTAGCGTAATGGCTATGTCGCTGAACTCCCACATAGTCGACTGCGTTCCGGACCCGGTGGCTTAAAACTCACGCCTGGCGCATGTGCATGCGTGCCCAAGATCCCAAGAGGAGAATGGAGAAGGGATTGCGGTGTGACCATCCCCCCTGAGGGGTGATTTCTCACTTTCTGTCTCTGTCTCTCTCTGTCTGTCTGGCAAGCGCATGCACCCTATAGCGAAAAAACCTCTCCAAAAAAAAGTTCTGGGAACATTTTCACATCAGCATGTATAGATCTAATTTTTAAAAAATAGAAGCCATGCCTTTTGAATAAATAGCAAATAGAAAGTCAGCAGTTAAGATGTGAAGAGAGCATACACAAGCTGTAAATCAGATATGCCTAAATATAAATCCTACTTCTGGGCCACTCCCCATGGTCTACAGGTTAAAGGGACCAGATTCCACATGGGCACCACTGTGATTCAAGTCTTGGATCCTGCAACTTGAAAAGCATGCTGGGCACATGTGCACGTGCCCCAAATCCCAACAGGATGGAGAAGTGGGTCAGAAAGGATTGTAATGGGACCACGGCCCATCAGGGCGGTACTTTCTTCCTCTCCCTTTCTCTCCATTTCTCTCTAGTGAATGCATGTGCCCTCTGCCAAATTAAAAAAAAAAAAAATTTCTAACTCAGATATCTGTCAACTTAGATATGTCGACTATTCCTTACATTTTCATTTACTCACTTATAAAATGCAAGTAAGACTCTTCTCGTAAGTGGCCTCAGGTGATCTTTGACAGTGGTTCACTATTCACTTGACCCAGAGAACCCCACAATGCCATGCAAATCATGAGGTTTAAATCTTCATGTTCACTTTAAGAACACTCATGAAATTGCCCAGGCCATCAGGAGTATGCATATATGAAAAGCCACCAAGTATCTGAAGGATGTCACTTTACAGAAGCAGTGTGTGCCATTCCGTCATTACAATGGTGGAGTTGGTAGGTGTGCCTAGGCTAAACAGTGGGGTTGGACACAAGGTCAGTGGCCCAAAAGGAATGCTGAATTTTTGCTGCACATGCTTAAAAATGCAGAGAGTAATGCTGAACTTAGGGAGTTGGATGTAGATTCTCTGGTCATTGAGCAGATATTCAGGTGAACAAGGTACCCAAGATGCGCAGTCATGTATACAGAGCTCGTGGATGGATTAACCCATACATGAGCTCCCCCTGCCACACTGAGATGATCCTCACTGAAATGGAGCAAATCGCTCCAAAACCGGAAGAGGAAGTCACACAGAAGAAAAATACATCCCAGAAGAAACTGAAGAAACAAAACTTATGGCATGGGAATAAAGTCAGCATAAAACAAATGTAGATAAAAGTAATAAATAAATTAAATGAATGAATGAATGCATGCATGCAAATAAAATCTATCCCATAAGGCTATGGAATACATAATGAGAAAACTCACATAGAGTATTGGGCACATAGGAGCCATTTAAATGAGTTCCTATCTCACTCTTTGTAGATTTTATAATTTATCTATGCAAATTTATTGGTCTTTTTTTCCCACCTCCTTCCAAAATAAGAATAAACTTATCCAATCTTATAAAGCTACTAAGAAACAATATTTTTAGGTGTTTGTATGGAAATCTTATCATTTCTTAGTATAAGAAACTATTACCATTAAAAGAATACAGACTCAAAACAAAATGCTTATACATGAGGTTCTCTAGTTTATCCAAGCTTATGTTCTATAAAATACCAGGTTCTACAAGTTAACAATTTGAACTTTCCAAGAATCACTTCTCCAGGGTAGAAACAGTAACAATTAAATAAGTGATTTATAATACACACATACATATTCATACAATTTTTTTTCTTTTTCTAAGGGTGGGATGCTGTTATGGACTGGAAAGATGTCCTGTCAGGAGGGGAGAAGCAAAGAATGGGCATGGCTCGCATGTTTTATCACAAGTAAGTATGCTATGTTCTGGTAAAAGTCACTCCATTGCTTTAATCCAAAAGCCATTTGAACAGGATTCAGTGTTCTCATCTTTAATTTAAAATTTTTTTGCTGACAGGACCTGCTATAGGATGAGTTTGCTCACCAGAGAGAGATAGAGAGAGGGAGAAAGTGAGAACCCACCTCAGGGGAAATGGCCATGCCATAGTCCCTTCTCTATTCTTTGCACATGCGTGCTCATGTGCCCAGTGTGTTTTTCAAACACCAGCTCCAGGACTCCAACTGCACAGTCAGCCATGTGGGATCCGGATGCCTTATACACCATGCCAATGGCTGACCCTAAATCAAAAAATATATTTTTGTAAGAGAGATTTTTACTATAGGGTGCATGTGCTTACTGAATAAACAGAGAGACAGCGAGAAATTACTCCCTTGTGGGGATGGCCATGCCTTCTCCTCCATTCTCCTCTTGGGATTTTGGACATGCATGCTCATCCACCCAATGTGAATTTTAAGCCCCCAGGTCCAGAACTTGAACAATGTTCGACTATGTGGAAGTTCAGCGATGTAACCATTATGCCATCTGCTGGTCCCCTAAGTTAAATTTTAACCATTCTGCAGCCCATTAAACCCATAGTCTACAACTTGTCCCTTTAAACATTAGAAGCATAAACAATTAAAAAAGGAGCCAGCCACCTAAGCTTTAATAGACTCAGAAAAATCAAAATGTCTCTTCTGATAACCCTTTTTACTTTTTTTGAAAATAATTTTTTCAAGAATTATTTTATTTAATTTTATTTATTTTAATTTGGTTAGAGAGGGACAGAGAAAGAGAGAGAAAGGGAAGTGAGAAAGCAAGCCACCAGGTCTGGGCCTAGAACCACAGTTGGCCATGTGAGAGTCCAGTGCCCTTAACCACCATGCCACCTGCTGGCCTGCGAAATAGCTTTTAAATTTAAAGATACCAAAGACAAGACCTGAGAAAGTAAGAAGTAAGACTAAAGCCAGTCTGAGTCCTTCCTCTTCTTTGTCCTATTCTTCTCAGAAAAAGAAATCTCCTATTTTTGTGTTAGGGTTTGTTAGTGAAAACCTCAATTGTGCAAGGCAGGAGATAAGTAGGAACTATTCTACTCACTTTTAATACTTAAATCTGCATTAAAAAAGGGTGCAACCAGGTGGCATGGTGATTAAGGACACTGGGCTACCACATGGCTGACCTTGGTTTGAGTCCCGGAGCTGGCGGCTTGCTTTCTCACTTTCTCTCTCTCGTCAAATTAAAATAAATAAA